AAATCACAATTAAATGAAATGGATCAACAATCGGGTAAATTCGAAGAAATATTTTTTGTGTCATTTTTATATTTGATGATTTTATATTTTAGATACTCAACATCAAGCAACAATTGATGAAATACGAACTAGTGAAACAATTGCTCGAATAAGTCAAGATATTACTGTACAACAATTACCTGTATGTCTTGTCGTTACTGGTGATGATTTAAGTAAAAATTTCTTGAATATTTTTAAATGTTTATAATTGTTGTTGGTTTTTTTGAACATAGGTTTAATTCTTCGATACAGACCTAAAGAATTTATTCGAGTTGCCGGTCAATGTCAATCAGTTATTTTATGTCGAGTATCAGCAACACAAAAACGTGAACTTGTTACAATTGCTAAATCTGTATTTGAACATCGTATATTAGCAATTGGTGATGGTGCTAATGATGTTGGAATGATTCGTCGATCTCATTGTGGTGTTGCTGTTCGTGGTCGTGAAGGATCGCAAGCAGTTGCTGCTGGTGATTTTGCTGTTGATCGTTTTGAATGTCTTCTTAATCTATTACTTGTTCATGGTGCTTGGTGTTTTACACGTACAAGTGAATTAATTTTATATACATTTATGCATAATTGTCAATTTGTACTCGTTATTTTTTATTATCAACTTTTTAATGCATATTCGGGCACTGCTTGTCTTCATTCGGTTTGTAAGTATTTTTGATATATAATTTATAATTTACGAGACAAGTTCGTCATATGTTAAATCACTTTCCAGATGAGTCCTACTTTATTAAATAGTTTCCTATTGAGACTAGAAAAAAGCCCAAGAAGATTTACTTTTTTAACAACTGAAGTAATCCTAAGAACTTGTTGAAATTTAGGTAACAGATCAACCCTAGTGTTTCAATCAAAACTGACATTAACACGCTTTGCTCACCCGTAAATTTCAAACAACTGCAATAGTGTCTTACATCCAGAAATTTGAGATACTAAAAGTACCATAAGAAATGATATATATACGATATAATCTTTTCTGTGGATATTCAAATATGAGTGTGGCTGTGGATGTAGAAAGAATCGAGACCCACGCTCACACTATTCCGAAAGTTTCTTGAGTTCGCTGGGCTACAAGAATTCTGTGAGTGAAATTGCACTTTTGAGAGTTCTAAAAGTTTGGAACTCATGAAATCCGGTCACTACTGCTGAATAGATAGAATAAAACAATTTCTCTGTGATTAGCAAGAGCAGCTACATCGTATTTCACATTTTAATCCCGTAGAGATTGTGCTAACGGTTCTTTTCTAAAAAAGAAGTTTCATCCGTTTGAACTATTGTATGTAAGTATATAATCACTTACAACTTATTGATTCGTGAGAACTGGATTCAACAATTAAGAATTATCAAAATACAGGATGAACCAAAAGTCATGTTACCGAAAAAAAATTGAGTATCTCCATTACGACTCGAACAAACATGCTAATTTTTGTTGTTGAGTTCAGTAATCTGAGTTAAAATAAATAGGATATAAGTTCTTTAATTATTTAGAAAATTTTTTCAAAGATCATTTTAATCAATATTTAAAGAAAGTTTATATACGTATATATGTATATATATATATATTGTAGATCTTGTTCTGTACACAAGTTTGTTTACTGTTCTTCCTCAGGTAAGTATATCAAAATCGATAAATGAATTTCATATTTTTGTTTTTAGTGTGCTGCTGCTTTATTTGATGAACATATATCAGCTGAACGAGCTTTACGTGAACCTGAACTTTATCAATATACACTTAATGGAAAATCATACCGAAAACATTCTTATTGGATAAATATTTTTGATGCTATTTGGCAAAGTACAATTATTTTTTTTATAAATTATTATTCTTATCAACATCAATCAAATATCGATGTATTATCATTTGGTTTTTTACTTACATTTAGTATGATGACAACTTCTTTACTACATGTTCTTATACAAACATCACGTATTGATTGGTCAGTAGTTGGTTCTACAATATTAAGTTTTCTTGTTTTTATTATTTTTACACTTATATATGATGATGTTTGTGTTGCATGTAGTCCATATGAAAATCCATATAAAGTATCATATCGAACATTTCGACAAGGTCGATTTTGGTTTGTAAATTTATTTATTCTTATAACAGCTTTGTTACCTCGTTTTACAGTTAAATGTGTTTATAATACAATACGAAATCCATTGAATTAAAATATACATTTAGTAAAAATCTCGTATCATTATATGCAAGACATATCTACTGGTTTGGTGACAAATTTAAATAAAATAAATAGGGGTCTATTCACAAAAGCTAGACTTATGAATATAGACTAATCAAAATTGGTCATTATTTTTTTTTTATTTTCAGGTTGTTCTATACATACGACTATATTTTATATACGTGTTTTTAATTTATAAAGAAATATGTCGGCATAATGTGGTTTTTAAATAAACAATCCGATTTTTATTGGTGATTACGAGATCTATATCGTTCTTGTAGTTTATTTTTGTATATCTCTCTGTCTTTGCAACGACTAAAAACAACTATGTATATATTTAGTGAAAAGAAAAGGGAGAAAGTCCAACACATAGGTCTACTCATAGAGAGAACGAGAACAAGTGAAGCATATCATAACAGGAAAAAAAAGCTTATGATTACATTCAGATAGATGCAAAATATAATATTGACTCACATTGCTACATGTGACAAGGCTAGGAAGTTGTTTCCTCAACATTTAGTAAACTGGCAAAGAGATTAAAAGATCTTTTCTGTTTTCTTGCGATTATTAGCAGATGTATTTCTTACTAACCACATCTATTTGAAGATCGTATTTTCCAAAAAAAGAAATTCATATCAAACTCTTAATAAGCTTGCTGGAAAAATTATGTGTATTCCTGCTACATCAGCACCAGTTAAACATATATTTCTTCTCAAAGCGGTCTTCTAATGAGACTACATCATTCAAATTTTTCACAAGCTAATGTTTGTATTTCAACATTTTCAAAGTGCAATAAGACATCAATTTGAATATTAATAAACATTCGTTTTGCTTGTGAACAACTTTAAATTTAGGTTTTTGTTTATAGAAATTGATGTTTTTTTTTTACTATATTATGGAACTGTATGAAAGAGAAGAGTTGATCGTATTATCCTTATTTTGTTGATAAGGCTATATTAGCTGTGTCATTTTATTTTATATATGAATGTTTTTTTATTTTACTGTGGTATAGAAAGGCCGAAAAGAAAAATATTGTAAAAATTGATGTCTTCAATAAATGCTGATTCATTCTCTGTGATTTATTATTGTTTTTTCCATTATTCTATCAGTCTGGCACTATAACTATTAGTAACAGTGATGAGTAATACTTGCTAGAGAAGAACTGAAATAGTCAGACACGTAATATTTTATGTAACTGGAAATCTATTATCATGATTACAGGAGCTTCATCTTCATTAGATGAGAATCATCCACCATTGACAGTGATTTCATTTATTCAGTCACAAAAAGGAAAACCTTTGCTTGTACCAGATAAATACATTTTAAAATTGACCTAAGTAACAACGACTACCAAATATTGGATATGTACACATGTATTGAATGTTCACCGAAAATTCATACAAATATATTCCGAAAGCCCAATTGAAAAAGAAACATGAATATCTTTTTGACCATTCAAGCGATTTACGTATTTCAGATATTTTCAAAAAATGATAGATTTATATATTGCATTTATTTAGGACGTTCAAAAAGACAATTGTCTGACGAGGAAACAATATTTGTTATCTTCTTAAAGACTATTGGACCCTTACTAATCCATCAAATTCCTTCTGGAGTATCTATTGATGCTATCTATTATCGTGATAAATGCTTAACATTTTTAGTTAAAAAGTTATTGAAGAAAAGACCATCAACAGAAACAAATGATATCGAGTTCCAGCATGACAATGCAATACCACATGTGAAAGATATTGTTATCCATTATCTTCCAAAAAGAAGAAATCAATGTTATGCCTCATCTACCATACTCGTCAGATCTTGCCGCTTCAGACATTTAGATGTTCAGCTGTCTCACAAATAGACTTGATTCATATCTAGATGTCATAAGTTCGACGAAAGCAATAACCAAGGAATTCAAGTCGATACCTGTTGATGAATACAAAAGGATATTTCAAAAATGGATAAAAAAGATGAAACTTTGTATCAAGCATCACGGCGACTACTTTGAATATTTACCGCAGAGAATTCGATTGGATGTATTTGCTATGAATAAATTTTTTAAAGTAATAGAACTTTTTGGACGTCCTAAGTGATCCTTTTGTATACCGATTGGAGACAAATCTATGTGAAATGAAACTATAGAAATCTCACGCAAATTACTTGAATATTTAAAGAGACATTTACGTTTCTTTTCCGACCAGACTTTTGGAACATTCTGCATTTAGATAGTTTGTCATTTACAGTTGCTAAACAGAAAAGTGACACTATTATTTCTTTCTTTTTGTTTTTAATCTCTTAACTTGTGTATGATCTATGTTACAATATTATGCCAAAAATAAAGAATATTCTTGTCAGTTGAAATTTTCGATATTCTTCCTTGCGACATTTCTACGATCAACCCTGATTTTATTTTTGTGCATAAAAACTGGAAAGAAAATATTGTGTCATGAAAAGCATGTTGTTAAAATCTTTTATAAAAAACAAACAGAAAACGAAAAAAAAAATGACAAAAGTAGTTCGATTCGACTCGATAAGTGATTTAACACCCTCACCCCTGATATCAATTAATAACAGGGAAAAAACTTGAAATTACGAAATTATTCTTTGATATTAGTCATGTTTTACCCGTTGCAAAGAACAAAAAATACTTACGCAATTTCTTCTCTCACTATATGAATGCAGTTTTTTTCAACTAGCATTTCATATTCCAAATTTTTTCGAGTACTATTATGTACCGATTTCTATTGAAATTAATACGTACTCGAATGCTATATATAAATGTCTATCGAACAAACGAAAGAGTCAATTTCCAAGTAAACATTTATCTAGATATATATATTTATACCTTTTTTTTCCTTCTCATTCTATAAATTTAGAGCAACAAATGTTGCTAAGGATCCCAATAATGACAATGATCTTGAAAATATCATCAAATCTGAATTCATTATAATTTCTTCGAATGAAAATTTCGAAGCTGAAAACAATAATAATGATGAAGTGGTAATAACATCGAATGATATAATATCAACAGTTTCACCGGTTACAAACAAGAAAATTAGTAGTGAAAAAAAATCAACAAACATAAAACAAAATAATGATATAAATACACAGATATTGACTACGAATATAATTAATACTCATCAAGGTTCAATTATATAATATTTCTTGAGAAAATTTCTATCTTTCTTTTCTATTGATTTAGATGAACTATCAAGTATTGCTATTCATGAAAAAAAAATATCTTCAAAACATCAAATTAAAAAGAAAGTTGGTCCTAGTGCTAAAATGGTACATCATATTTGAAATATTATCTAATAATAGATCATTTTTTTCTTTCTAGTTAAGTCGTATAAGAGAAATGCAAGATGCTCAAAGGAAAGCTGAAGAACAAGCGAAAGAAGAACAACGTTTACAAGAAGAAGAAGAACTTAAACGATTAGAACAAGAAAAATTACGTTTAGAAGAAGAACATCGAGAAAAAATGAAACAACATGAAGGTCTAAATCTAACAAGAAAACAACGACATAAACGCCGACATACACAAATTCAGATGGGAGCAGCTGGTGTTCAAATATCGGAACATCATGTTTCTCAATCAACAACATCTAACAATGATAAATCAATTAAAAAGGGGATACTCTATGATGATCGACGAAAAATAAATAAAACATGTATGTTCTTTGAGTTTTTTTTTCTAATGACTTAAATTGTTTGTTAAATTTTCTTTAGCATCAAATATTTCAATACAATCCGTTGCAGTATCAATTGAATCAGAGAACAATGTGTTAACTGAAGTAAGATTTTATTCAATGAAATGATGTTTGTATAATTGTAGAAATTTGTATAATATAGGAAAATAACAATTCAACAGATGGCTGGGAATTAAATTTTGATGAAGCAAATATGAATGGAGAAATACTTCAAAGTCTGACAACAATAGAAGGTAATCAATTTATTTTTCTAGAAGAAGAAAATTAATTTAACACAATACTAATTCTAAATAGAATCAAATTAGATTTAGATAATTAAAAAAAAAAATTTTTCTTTTTCATACGTAGATAATAATAATGATCATCTAATCCAAGTTAATACACATTTAATAACAAATCAAGAAAGTTCAGAAACTGAATCAATCGACAACGAAGAAGACGAAAATGATCAATCATTATCATCTATAGAACGTGTACGTCGTCGTCTTGAACGATATCATGAATTATGTGAAAGTCATCGTTCAACTAAAATACTTCGAGCACCTATTATCTGTGTTTTGGGTCATGTTGATGCTGGAAAAACAACAATTTTAGATAATCTACGTCAAACACATGTTCAAGATAATGAAGCTGGTGGTATAACACAACAAATTGGTGCAACTAATGTTCCATTAGAAACTATTTATAAACGAACTGAAATGTGTCGAAAAATGATAACACGAAAAGATGATTTTATTATTCCAGGTCTTTTAATTATTGACACACCTGGACATGAAATATTTAAAAATTTACGATCACTGGGTTCATCTTTTTGTGATTTGGCTATTCTTGTTGTTGATATAATGCATGGATTAGCACCACAAACAATTGAATCAATTGAACTATTAACTAAAAGACAAATACCATTTATTATTGCTCTTAATAAGGTATATATTATTCCATTATTTAAATTAATGATCATCATAATAGATATTCTTATAAAAATTATTTAGATTGATCTATTATATGACTGGAAAAGTAATAATAAAGAAAATATTGAACTTGTTCTACAAGAACAAAGTCAAATAACAAAAAATCATTTTGAAAAACGTTACAATGATATTATTTGTCAATTTGCTCAACAAGTAATTAAAAAAAAAACTTTCGAAATTATTTATATATAATAAAATATATCTATTTTGTTTTCTTAAGAATCTAAATGTTGCTTTGTACTATAAAAATCCAGATCCAAATGAATTTTATTCAATAGTACCAACATCAGCACGTTCCGGTGATGGAATGGGTTCATTAATTGCATTGATTATTGAAAAATGTCAAACAACATTAACTAAACGTTTAACATATACTGATGAATTACAAGCAACTGTTATGGAAGTTAGTTACTTTTTTGTTTCATCTTAACGATTCTTGCTAAACTATATAGATAAAACGGAGAGGTGGAGAAGTACAGGCTTTTTTTTTGAGTACGAGTACATTCTCTTACTTGCTCAATTCGGACAGAAAACAGTACAATAGATAGGAGTATTAAAATAATTGATTTACAGTTGTGGTTACTATGAAAATTTACTCAATGACCTGTAACTCTGGTTGTTAAGGTCTATAATACGGGAGAACTCCGAAACTCCCACTTAAAAGATATTGTAATGAACAAGTTTTCTCTCTGTAAAAATCTTTACATGAATAGAACCTGTTTTTTTTTTCAAAACAATCAAAGACTATATTTGATTATAAAATAGGTAAAATCAAATTATGGTTATGGTACAACAATTGATATTGTTCTTATTAATGGACATTTATCTGTTGGTGATAAGATAATTATTGCTGGTCAAGAAGGTCCTATTGTTACTCAAATTCGAAGACTTCTTATACCTGAATCTAATCAAGAATTACGTGTTACAGTAAATTATTTCGATTAATTAATAGATTTCTATTTTTCTATTCATATTTTAATTTAGAATCAATATCAAACTCATGAAAAAGTAAAAGGTGCATGTGGTATTAGAATTCTTGCTACAGATTTAGAAAAATCCATGGTTGGTTTACCATTATTTGTTGCAAGACAAACAGATGAAATTGATTATTTTAAAAATGAAATTGAAACAATATTAAAAACAATACTCAATTCAATGCAATTAAAAGAAAAAGGTGTTTATGTTCAAGCATCAACATTAGGTTCATTAGAAGGTTTTCTTCAACTTTTAAAAACATCTCATATTCCAGTAAAATTTTTCTTAATATACTTAAAAAGAGAAATATTTTATTTATTTATTTTTTTTAATAGTATGCTGGAATTAATATTGGACCTGTATATCGAAAAGATGTTATTCGAGCATCAACTCAACTTGAAAAAGATGTACAGTAAGTGAAATTTTCATTTTACTCTGTTTTTTTTTGTCTTAACACATTCTCTTGATTAGATTCGCTACTATTTTGGCATTTGATGTAAAAATTGAAAAAGATGCTCAAGAATATGCAAATACTATTGGTATATAGACTGTTATATATTTTCTTTCATTTCAAATTGAATATATATTTTTTCATTATTTATTCAGGTGTAAAAATATTTCGACATGATGAAATTTATCGTTTATGTGATATGTTTATTTCCTATCAAGAACAAATTAAAAAAACTAATCAAGAAAAACATCAACATCTTGCTATATTTCCATGTAAATTAAAAATTTTACCACAATATGTATTTAATACACGTGATCCAATTGTTTGTGGTGTATTAGTTGAAGATGGATTTATTAAATTAGGTACACCAATATGTGTTCCATCTAAAGATGTATGTATTTGAAATTCTTGAATAAGATTTTTTTTTAAACTTTTTTTTAATATAAAAATTAAAATAAATTTAGTGTATGGATCTTGGTCGAGTTGTTAGTATTGAAATGAATCATAAATCATTAGATGTAGCACGAAAAGGTTCTGAAGTATGTATTAAAATTGCATCAAAAACAAGTGAAACACCAAAAACGTATGGTCGACATTTTGATAAAGATGATATTTTAATGAGTAAAGTAAGTTAATAGAATTGAATGATTGAATTTAAATTGAAGAAATATATTGTGTTTTTAGATATCTCGTGAATCAATTGATGTTCTTAAAGCTTATTTTCGTGACGATATGCAAAAGAAAGACTGGGAATTAATAATCGAATTAAAAAAGATATTTAATATTATTTAAATTAAACATTAAAAAAAAACAACATTTCAATTGATTGATTTTTTATTTTAATACTGTATAAATAACCAAGAGTACTAATTCATACACTGTTTTCTTTTTGAATAACTATAAAAATATTTAAATCACGTTCTACTCTCATTCGAACTTGACTAACCTTACTATGATCATAGGTATAATCTGATATTTGCGTACCGCTTTCCGCAGAACACTCATGAAGAGTGATGCTGTGTGCGTTTGAAAGTTGAAACGTGTGTTCAACTGAATTCAGCTTTTAAATTTGATATATATAGTTTTTCACGGTATTCTACACAACAGGCGTCAGACTTCTTTTTCAAAGTTTCATAGTGACGAGAAAGGGTGCTGAGTGGTTTTAACAATAAGACTTAGACTGTTCTAGAACATTCAAAAGCCTTCTTCGAAATTTAAATAGCTGAAATACATTTGTTAATGTTCTAACGAGTGAAGTCCTTCAACTGATAAATCACGTTTGAATTGAGACTATATGAATTATGTAGATCCAAATGGGCTATAAATACTCTGAAAATAGTTTGGACCATTAGTTTACGTCTACGGAAGTACCACTCTTTTACAGTGTTTCCTAAGTTAATACCGTGGTTCCCTTCTGGAACACTCATTTTCAAATTTCTATTAAAAATTTTGCATA